TAAAATTTATACTTGTATTAAAAACTTTACTGAAAACCTTTCCTCATTCAACTGTAAGCATTACTCAAATAAAAAGTAGACATAGAGCATGTGATAGCATCAGAAATACAGCAGCTGAAACATTAAGGATCATAAAGGATCGGAGGAGTGGTGCACTGCAGATTGCCAACATTAAACAGTTCACATGAGAGCATTTAAAGTGAATATAAAATTGTGCAATTTTTTAAAATAATGATAGGCATTGAACTTTTGTCCTTTGCTTTAGAAGACTCCGGAAGTGTTGCCCATTTATCGTTATCCGGTGCGTGACTGTGAACCAAACTCACAGAGGCGAGATACATTACCCACGCCACACTGCCACAGATACCCAAATATCCCAATAAAAAGAGCCACATTCACACATCACAGATAAACATCCATGCCCTGAGCGGGATTTGAAACCGCAGTCATTGGCTTTGCAGTCAGGCATGCTAACCACTCGGCCACCTGGCCAAAAATTAATATATCGAGAACAAAATAAATAGTAGTATAGTTTTCAGAGGTGCACATGCAGGCATTAATTGTCAAATGGTGGCTCTTTGTGGCAATTAATGTCTAGGTTGATCAGTTGTGAAAACGAAACATGCAAGAGTTAGGTAAATTTTTCTGTTTCTAATTTTTCTCCTGTATGATTAAATTTGTCTGATTTAAACAATTTGGAAAAAAAAAATCAAACTAATCTGTTTAAATTATTTGTGCCTTTTGACTTTTAGAAATAATTTAATATGCAATTTTTTACATTTTAAAATTGTAAAACTAACTATGCGTAAGGCGTTGCAGTTAAATAAATCACTTAGCTGTTGTTGTGAAGTCCAGTGTCCATATTAATTAAGATTTTTTATAATTGTTTCCTCAAGTTCTTTTTACTGCATCTTTAAATTCACAAGTTAAAACGAAGATAAATACTTTACATTTGAAATTATTTTGAAAAAAAGAATAGAAATACAATTGAGCTTCGTGCTAGTGCTTAAAGAATAATTTCCAATTAATGTTTTGCTTTTTATAAAATAAAAAATAAAGTGTCTTGAAAACTTAAGTTTTTTAATGTATTTAAGTCTTAAAATATGAGTGTGTCCAAATACTTTTTGACCAGATACATTTGAAAGATAGCAATTAAATTTTAATACAAAAATCAATTGTTCTTTATATTCTCTAAAATAGGTTACATTGAAACTACATATTATAAAGCATGACAGTCTTTTAAAACGATTAAAAAGAAAATATCACATACAACATTAGGTACTTGTTGGCGTTACAAACATGAAATATTTTGTTCTACAAAAAACTTGTGCATGTAAAACAAATTTTAGGTTACAAAATCTGCCTAAATTTATCAAGACTTGTAATCCTTATACCTTTCAACACTATTAAAAAAATGTTCTAATGATGAAATGTCAGGAAAATAAGCTTCTCGCATTTCAAGTACACATTTCAAAAAATCATATATGCATTAATTGTTACATTATCAAATGGTATTGGATAATAAAGAATATCAACTACTAAATTCATTAAAATATTCTTAATTAATTATTTTTGCTGTTTTAAAAATAATCCCTAATTGATATTAAAACTAAAGGAGCCGTAACAAAAATTTATGCCCCAGGGCCCTGAGTGACGAAGTCAGGAATAGATTTATTTAAACATTATTTTGCATGCTTTCATTTTTTAGGTGTGTGATTTTGTTTGTCTAGCTATCAATATAGTCTGAAATGAAATTAAATTGCTATTTAAGATACAATAGGTGCAACTCTAAAGCAGCTTGTTTGAGTAGAAGATGTAGATAAATTTATGTTAATATTAATCCCATGAGGTTAAAATCCAGATTTTGAAGCAATATTTTCCATCCATATTAATATTAGATTTTGTAAAATCTAATAAAAAAAAAATACTGCCTAAAAACTTTCGTAGTCAAAAGAATTTTAAAAATTTGAAATATAATGCAAAATGTCAACGTAAAATTAGGCGAACTTCACAAAGAAAAGTATTGACTTGTTTTTGCTAAAATAGTTATGTAATACAACTTAGTTTACTACTAAAAATATCAAACAAATTTAACACTATTCTCGTTTTAAGAAAATGAAATAAAAACTATTCATATGGATTGAAAATCAAAACATTTTACATTATCAACCATAAACTTGATGCATGCAAACATTCTTAATATTAGAAAAAAAATTGTATTTTAAAGTGGTTGATGAAAAATTAATTCCTATTAGCTTATGATCTTTTTTAAAAATTATGCTTAAAACGAATCATGGATGCTAGAAGATTAAGATATGCTAAAACATTTTTAAGTAATATCACAATTAGCCAAATGGTATATTCATATTGCCAAGAAATGTATCCTTATATTTATAGGTGGTGTATAGTTATAAAATACATATAAGCATATTTATTAAATATATTTAATACGAATTACATATATATAAATATATAAGCATATTTATTAAATTCATATATATAATTTTTTACGTCTAAAAAATTTACTATACATATAAAATCTCAAAATAATATACATTAAAAATATTTTTATCTGCCAACATATCTACAACACTTAAGGAAATCCTTTCACATGTCAGTGTTTTCATTACAGGGCCAGAATGTGAGAATCTCGCTTATTTTATTCTTTTCTCGCATTAAAAAATTATTAAGACGAGAAGATCGCGGACTCTATTAATCAATTTCAAAATGAGCGAATTTTGGAAAAAAATTTGTCTTCTGTCATTTTGAATAAAATCCGTTTAACTTTTCTTCCTTGATCTTTCATTATTTTCAACATGGATCCCTGTTATCTAGCTTCCCTATTTACCAGTATTGTTCAGAACAGGTGCGAACAGCAGAACTGCCAAAAAGTTTTTCTGCCAAAAAGTTTTTTTCATTGTTATATTCAATGAAAAAATTGTGTATAAAGGAGAAATTCCAATATAAACTTACCCAAATGAGAAACACTCAAGTCCTTCAAAAATTAAATAAACATAAAAACAAATGATATTGTAACAATTAATTAAAATATTTACCGATAAAACTCTTCTCTTTCCCTTTCATCCAACTCTGAAGTGATATAGGCAATTGTTCTCTCAATTTTAGGAATAACAACTGAAATTTAAGTTAATAATTAAATTCGTATTATCAACTGAAAACAATTCAATACATTAAATGAATATGCAAAATTAAAATATCAATAATATGCAATTTCAAGAGCTTGTTGGCAAGTAACACAAGCATATAAATTAAAACTTTATCATTGCCTTATAAAAGAAAATACTATAGCAGCTTAATTTTCTTGATAGACACCTTGTTTCTTTGAAAAAATTATAAGGTGAGTGTTTGTATTTATATGTTTGAAGTGGAATTAATTGCATAAAATAGTTTTATTTTTCTCACTGTGAAAAAGAGAATTCAAAATATAGTTATTGAAGTTACGTTTTATTTTTTTTAAGCATCATAGCATAATAAAGTACTGAGATAAGGGGTGTTTATTCAGTGGATCACCAAACGATGAAAAACCAGTGAGGGAACAAGTGTTCGTTTACGTTTTTTTTCTTCTCTAAGTTAGTGAAAATAAAAGATAAACTTTAATTTTCTTGCACCTTTAGTGATGTTCCGCATCAAAAGTATGTTAAAAATAGGAGAAACAACTTCTAACCAGTGAGGGAACAGGCATGTTCCTTTACTGGGCATAGATTTCCCAGTGAATGAACAGTGTGTGTTAATATGTTGACACTTTAATTTTCAATTCATGATTACAAAAAAAAGTTAACATTTTCCAAGTATTTATATGTCATAATTTCAAGAATAGACTTGTTCTTAAATATTTGTATGGCTTATAGATTCATAAAGAGCATTAAAAAATAACCAAAATTAAGTGTTCCTTTACTGGGTGTTCATTCACTGGTAAGAGCTGTTCCTTCACTTGGTCTTCTTACAACTTGTTATTTGAACCTCCAAAACTTTAAAACAATATTATGTAACTTCTCTAAATTTTTTTTTACATAATTTGCAATTAGTAACAAATATGTTGACACTGTCATTTAACTAAAATTAAGAATTTTGAAATTAATATGATTTTCTAAAAGGCTAGTGAAGCTTAAGGGTTCCTTCATTGGTTAGTTTACCCTATATTTATAATAGTAGATTACCTACTTTATAATACTGAATTATTATTTATACATTCTTTAACATAATTCTACTTTTATTAATTTCAGAAATAGCCTATCCAATTATATAATTAATTTAGACATTGATATTCAAAAGCTAGTAAGGACAGCAATAAAATTAAGTAAAAAAAAAAAAAATTTTTTTTTTACCATGTTCCAAAGCATTAACTCTCCTATTGGTAACTTTGATGACTTCATCCAAAGTTATAAAAGAGGTTTGTAAAGAAGCCAGATCCACAAGCAAGTGAATAGCTTTGGCATAGTTCTTTTTCAACTTAGCAAGTTGTTGACCACCTCTGGCTAAGCCTGCCAACTCATAAGCTGTGAAAGAACAACATTAAGTAAAATATAAAATTTAATTTCAATTGAGTGTGAGAAAATATATTAACTAAACTTACTATCAACACCATTTTGGAAACTTTCAAATACCGGCAAATTCACACCTAAAATATTGAGAGATTATTCCAATAACATTTTACAATGATTAATTTATATAATAAATAAAAATATGTAAACAAATAATATAACGTTTAGTCACAACAAAGCTAATATTTAGAAAGCTAAACACTAATTAAAAAAAAAAAACTAGTTTGATATGTACTTATGATAAAAAAAAATAAAAAAAAAACACGAGCTAAAACATGATATAAAGAATTATACTTTTACAGAGGAAAAAAAGCAGATACAAAGTTTTAAAGATGTAAAAAAAAAAGAAGAAATGTAAGCATCTAAACTTTAACTTATAGTCAGGTTGGAGTTACTGGTTTAACAACCAATCATAGTTTGAATCATTCTGTTGATCAGAGAATTCAAAAACATATTAAATGACATAGCTAGTAAGTTAATTGTTTACTATAGAGGTCTTTGTTTATATCTCTTTCAGCAGTTGAATGGCGATTTGTCAAGACACAACGTACATCATATGTATAAAATAATATTTTTCTGAAATGCATATAATTAACACTTTTAGTAATTCTTAGAGGGGAAGGCCATGGTTGAGATGGACTGACTCAGTGGAGTCTGATTTTCTTAAATTAATGAAAAGAATTGGAGATCAAAGATAAATCGGAAGTCGTCATGGAGAAATCTTCAGAGGAAAGCATTGGCTCACATTGGGCTGTCTGGTATATTTAAGGTTTAGCTGTCAGCATCATAATTATGTATATTAGATACCAAGATAAATATAGCTGGAGACCGTTTCTCATTCTCTTTTTCCTTAAACTGTCAAACAACAGTATGTTTAGTTCCACATCTGGCAGAAGTGAATACCGTATATTCCGGCGCATAATGCGCACCCGTAATTTCTAATAACATTTTTTAAATTTTAAGATATACTCTTTGTATAACGCGCCAGAAAATTTGGATTGTACATGTGCAATATCTCGTCTAGTATCAATAGAAAACCAGAAAGCCTTTTAGTGTGGGACATGTTTAGGTCCCACCTTACAGATAATACAAAAAAATTGTTGAAAGAATGCAACACCCATATGGCAGTTATTCCGGGTGGATTGACACCATTAGTTCAGCCATTGGACGTCTGCTTAAACAAACCATTTAAAGCCAATTTTAGAAAACAGTGGAACACTTGGATGTTGGAGGGCGAGAAAACCTTTACGAAAGGAGGACATATGCGCCATGCAAGTTTGGAAACAGTGTGTGAATGGATATTAAAAGCATGGGATGAAATTAAGCCTGAGATGGTTAGAAAATCATTCAAAACATGCAGCACTTCAAATAATCTGGACGGATCAGAAGATGACTGTTTATTTATGGATGAGGGTAACACAGGTGATGAAGACAAAACAGATTGTGATGACGTGCCTGAAGAAATAACGGAAGACGAATATAATGAACTATTTATGTAATAACGAAAATTAATAAAGTATATAGGTAAAGGTATGTTATTCCTTTAAAATAAAATTATTTTTCTATATTTAAATTTTCTTAATCTATAATTTTTTACATTCGGCGTATACCGCGCACCCGTATATTCCAATGTTATTTTTTGTATTAAAAGTGCGCGTTATACGCCAAAATATACGGTAATAAAAGATGAGGCCCTACAGTGCTTAGCGGTTACACCATGCCGTGCCAAGATTCTGGCCCTGTGAATTCCAGTAGTCCCTAAAAGTGAAAGACAACATGGACTTGCCAAACCAAGCATACAACTAAAGTTTGGGTTAAAGCATGAAAGCTTTGCCAAACTTTCTGGTCATTAATTGGAGAATACCTATCAATAGTGGTTTTGTGTTGATGTCATAGAAACTGAATGCGCCACAAGAAAGATAGACTGCTAAGTTGCGTAAAAGAAATAATAGAGGCATTGAATCAATTGTTGATGGAGTATAACAAGAAATGTGCCAACAAACTTTTAGTATCATAGAACTATAATGGAAATTCTCATCTATCTTTGTGTTAAAGTATAAGTTTCCTGCTCTTCTACTATTTTGTATATAAACCTGGAATAAAATATTGTTTCCTGCAACCTCTTGTGTTTAATTTGTTGTGAGGTGCACAGTTAGAGACTAAACGGAATATTAAATTTTAATAACATAAGTTTTCATAGTCAAAATAACAAAAATCAGCAGAATGGTATTTTGGCCAATTAGACAGAAACTTTATTTTATTTTTGAATAAGTTTAGTTTACTCACAAATATTTACTCGTATAATTTTATCAAGGCATTTACATATTTGAGAAATTAAATTAATACATGTTATTAAAAAGAGGCTTTACTCATTATCAGTGTAAAGAATAATGACCATATAAAAAATTAAAATTTTATTAAAAATAGAAAACAAAGTTTACCAGCCACATTATCTTTCTTACTACGAACTTTGATTTGAGCTTTGGTTACATTTTGCAAAACTATATGATTGAAATCCCCGGTAGTAAACTTTGCTTCAGCTAATGAAAAAGCAGCTTCCTTCATAACATCTCCCATCAACGATTTAGTCTAGAAAACAATTAATATGATATGCTAGATTTATGTATGCATTTTTTAAAAAAATTGATAGATATATATTTAAGCTTAGAGCAGAATATTATTTTTGTGGCTTATACAAAAATAAAGTAAAATGACATTTTACATTTAAAGAAAATCAGTTTTGAAAATTTTTAAGCTATAAAAAATACAGACTAATCAGCAACTGTTTTTACAAGAAGCCTTGAATTAGACAATTTACAGCAATTATTGGTAATTTATTATTATATATCAAAATATCTTCAAGTTTTTTTTTTAAAAAAATTATGACGTATTGTTTTGAAAAATTCTAAGGATTATTACTTTATACCTTTTTTTTCTTTCTTCATAACTTATCAGTAAAAATCTTTTTATTATTAAAATATATTGGGAAAAAATAAAATTCAAATTAATATTGCAAGATAGTACTAACATTATACATGAGCAGAGTTGTTTGAAAAAATAGAAAATCTTGGTTGAATAGTTAATATGTGATATGTACTTTATTATCATAGAATTTTCTTGCAAATTTATTACTTTTTAAATTCATAAATTTTTTAAACCCTTGTAGTCTTCATCAGCTTTGAAGCTCTAAGCTTAGTGAAAAATTCACCATTGATTGGAAAGATATTAAAAATAAAAAATACATTCTATTGATAAACAATATCTCGTGAACTAAATTTAACTTAAATTTAGCTAATAGTATCAGGGCATGATTAAAAAATCCAGGGGTTGTGGGCACAGAACTACCAGAGAAAACTTTAAACAAAATTTATAAGTTGTACACAAACAAAATGCTTTTAAACTATTTATAACATAAGGTTGCATAATTAGTAATTTTGATATAATTATTAGTTGTGATTAATGATATAATTATGATATCAGGGTTCCCACTCTATGATGAGATTGAAATTCAAGGACTTTCCAGGACTTTTCAAGGACCTCAACAAAATTTTCAAGGACCTTAATCTAAGACCAATTTTAAAAATTATTCTCTTCTATTTTACTAGAAGCAACAATGCTTGTTGTGGCAATAATTAATTTCAAATATAATACCTAAATGCTTTGCCTATATAGAGAGAAGAGAGTATATGTATTATGGACTAAAATTTATATTTTTTTAAAAACAACCCTACTGGTTTTACATATTAATTCACAAAATCATTTTCAGCACAATCTATAACTAATGGTAATGAGGTGTTAATGGTGAAATCCTTTAATCC